TTTCAACATGGGGCATAGTCTAAAGGCAGCAGACGGGCAACCAGGCTCCTCCAATGCACAGTGGCGAGATTGGTCTCGTCACATCTGGAATTCTTCTAATGATGAGAGGTTTTATATAATGTTTTAATCAGATTTGAAAAAGAGCAGAAAATATGAATTCCCAAGAAATGGTTACAGTAAATGTTTTAAAGACTAAAGCATTCCCATGTGACAACATGAATCATTTGAGAAAACTATATAACAGATACTTGTGTGCACTGTGGTTGTTATCTCTGCCTACAGAGCCTGCCCTAATGAGAACTAATTAACTTCTCCTCGTTTCTTTAGTCATTCTGGATGATCAACCGATCAGACATGTGAAATTAGTTATTTTTCCCTTTCTTTTGTTAATTCGTGTTGTTATATTTTAAAAACTGTCACCACAATTAAAGTTATGTCTTTTGCTTATCTATATTTGAATATATACATATATCTATATATATCTTTTAACAATGTCTTTTTTTATATATTAACTGATTTATTTTCCTCTATTGTCTCTACTTTATAAATTGGAGTAATTGAACACTTTTGCATATTTTTGTGTTATGGACAACCTGTCATATGTGGTGTAGTCATGTTGTCTATCAATAAGATTATATTTTTCATGGGCAGGTTACCAGTTTTGGTCCACCAAACTTAGGGATTGTTAATGGGGCCACATATATTTATAGTTCTGAGGCCGCGTCTAACCCATGGGCTCTGTTTGCTCTCTGTACAATGGGTGGACTAACAGACACATAAGTGTAACTAGACAATTGGACGCACAGGAACAGAGGGGTTGGGGACACTGCTCAATGAGCTTATATACTAGAGGAAGTGGGATATAGTGACACAAATGTTATAAGTAGGGTAAATGAAATAGCTTGCAAGAAAAGTATTCACTGAGAACTTAGTAGGTTATCTTTGACAGTTGCAGGAGATAAGTCATGGGGGGATGAAAACCCGGTAACAGTTTAAATTATATGCTTTCCTGAAGAAGTGTGTTTTCAAAGATTTTTTGAAGAAGTAGAGACTGTGTGAAAGTCTAATGGAGAAGGGAAGGGAGTTCACAGAAAAGGTTCAGCCCTGGAGAAGTCTTGGAGGCCAGCATCAGATGTGAGAGTACGAACAGAGGATAGACAGAGGTCTTCGGCAGAGTGTAGGGGCCTCGACGGGACACACTTGTGTATTAGGGAGGATAGGTAGGTTGGCGCAGCATTATGTAGTGACTGTAAACAAGCACCAGAATCTTAAATTGAGCCCTATATCTAACTGGAAGCCAATGTAGGGACTGACAGAGGGGGAGGCGTAGGAGGTGTGGGCGGACAGGAAAATGAGCTTTGCCTCCACATTCATTATAGATTGCAGCGGTGCAATCTGGAATCACGTAAGACCACTGAGAAGGGAATTGTAGTAGTCAAAGCGAGAGAGAACAACGGCATGAACCAGCACCATAGCTGCGTCTGGTGTTAAATAAGGGCGGATGCGAGCTATGTTTTTGAGGTGGAAGCAGCAGAATTTGGCAATTGACTAGACATGAGGGGTGAAGGAGAGGACGGAGTCAAAAAGAACACCTAGACAGCGAGCCTGTGAGGTAGAGGTGATGGTGGCGCAGTTGACTTGGTGGGAGACAGACATGGGAGTAGCAACACTTAAGGGAGGAAAGACCAGTAGTTTTGTTTTGGACAAGTTGAGTTCAAGGAAGTGAGTAGCCATCCAGTTGGAAATTGCAGTGAGGCAGTCAGAGACACGAGTCAAGATGGGCGGAGAGAGATCAAGAGAGGATAGGTAGATTTGTATGTCATCTGCATATAAATGATAATGGAAGCTGATGAGTTTACCAAGGGAGGCAGTATAGATAGAGAACAGTAGGGGACCAAGAACAGGACCTTAGGGGAACTCCAACAGAGAGGGGTTGGGGAGAAGAGGCAGAGCCAGAGAAAGAAGCACTGAAAAAGTGCTGGGAGAGGCAGGACGAGCACCAGGAGAGAGCAGTCTCTCTTAGACCGAAATTACGGAGAATGAGAAGAAGCTGTTGATGACCAACAGTTTCAAAGGCAGCAGAAAGATCAAGGAGATTTAGGATAGAGTAATGGCCGCGAGATTTAGCAGCAATTAACTCGCTGGACACTTTGTTCACAGCTTTTTCAACAGAGTGACGAGCGCAGATTCCAGACTAAAGCGGGTCAAGCAGAGAGTTGGATTCGATGAAGTCTGACAACTCACTCAAGGATCTTGGAGGGAAATGACAGTAGCGATATAGAGCGGTAGTTGGATGGGGAGTTGGGGTCAAGTTTGGGCTTTTTCAGAATTGGCATTATGGTTGCATGCTTGAAGGATGAAGGAAACGTGCCGGAGGAAAGGGAGAGATTGAAAGTTTTAGTGAAAGGAAGAGCAAGAGAGGGAGACAGAGTGCGGATGAGATATGAGGGAACAGGATCAAGGACACAGGTGACTGGGCGGGAGGACCGGAGCAGAGCAGAAACCTCTTCCGTTGTAGTGGGTACGAATGAGCACAGAACAGCGGATGGAGTGGGGTTGGGTAATGTATTGGAAGGGGAGGGAGAGAGGTTAGAGATCTCCTCCCTGATTGTATATATATATATATATATATATATATATACACAAATGAATACTAACATGCATTGTAGAGGATCCATACAAAACCAGAGCAGAACTACAATCATTTATAGTTTTATCCCTTTTCAAGTCAAAAATACCTCATTAATGGCTACAGATTATGTGTTTTAATATTTCTCTTTACCTATAACTGCGTGTAATAGCACAAATACATATACATAAATAGATTTACTGTGGTTTTCATGTGGAACATTGTTCTGAAGAGTGTAGACAATGTATCCACAAAAATGAAATGAGTCATATGCATTGCAAAGCAGCATAGTGAAAATGTCTTATAATACATATTTTACATATTTTATATCATCTCTGTACTTTTTGTCTGTAAATATTTTGTTTTATAAGACAGAAAAATACAGAAATTATATAAAATATATCTTCCCTTCAGAATTTGACTATAAATTTGGCCTGACCTTCATATACATTGTAACACAAAAAGAAGAGTTGATTAAACAATACTCAGTGTATTTTTACCTTTTATGTCCTGGCTGAATTAATCTTTTCTGGTAATTGCTTATCAGCTTTGCACATCATTTAAAGGTGTTTTGGTCCATTTCCATTTTAGAATCATTGCTATTTCTGAATTAACTGAACTGGTTGCTTTAAATTACGCCATTCCATTTAAAGTGGGTTAATGTCCAACCGTCTGTCAGCTTTTCCAAAACTTGAAATTTCTTTGGTTCCAGCCACTTGGCTGTGATTAAAAATGCTTGCAGTCCTGCGTGACTCACACTAAGTAAACCTTCAACAAACATATAAGCACTTTGACTTGGTTTAGAATGAGATTATTATGTGTAGGTACAATGCTTTCTTTTTGCCAAACATGATTTCTCATCTATACTGAAAAGCTCTCAGTGTTGTCTCACTTGACCGCAATTCATTCTTCAATTTATTATCTAGATCTCCTAGCTTGCCTTTCGAGAATTGTAAATGGCTGCAACTGTGTTTTGCTAAATTAGTGGTTAGTTCCATGGTATGATGCATACTGATATTCTTCAGTGTTGTTTTTTTTGCACTTGACTAATGAACACTGACATTAACTAATGGCAGAGATACTTTCAAAGTCCTAGCCATTAACCTAGGTCCTATTTGTGACCTCTTGGAGTAATTTAAACTTTGATCTCAGAGTGATTTTAGATAGAAAACTACTCCTGGGAAGTTTAACAACTGTGATGCAGTCCATTCATAGTCTATGTCTTTCACTGTCGATTGACAGATACTAATGTCAATGATGTAATAAACCTTTTTAGCTTTGGGAACATTGAAAAAAAAATTCCGAGGTCCATCGATATTTATTGAGGACCATTTGTAACACAATTTAGATGACAAATGTTTCACTATATAGTGAAACCTTCATGTTGTCTAATAGCAATGACCTGAAAACACACACCTACTGCCTGAAAATTTGATTCTAATTACCCCTTTATCAAGCAGATTATCCCTGGAGTCACATACATTTTTTGACAAACACAGTTAAGAGTTGGATCAATGTATGTCAAGCAAGACAAGCAAAAGATAAATTTTCAAAAACATCCTGGTACCGTGTATCTCTTGCTAAGGCTAGAAGAAGTGCTTGTTATTAATATCTATGTCATTGCTTTGGTTGTGTGAACAGAGTTACTCCAATGTTAAAATAAATACCTTTCTTTTGTAACACTGAAGTGTTATGAAGTGTTGAACACAATTTAGATTTTGGGGTCCCCATTGTTTCCCTTTATAAATGATTACTTTGTTCACTGCAGGTCCATTCCACCTCTGTGAGATCATCACAGGCAATCCAATGCTTCTCATAGAGAAGCATTGGAAGGCTGGACGTATGCACAGCAATCACTGTGCTGCAAAGCCAATGAAGCACCATATCTAATGATTATCTATGAGAAGCCTTCACTTCCACATTTAGCAAACACAGAATGAGGAAAGAAGCCCTCTCAGTTGTGTGGCTGATAGCTTTAAGTCTTACCAAAGGGGAGTTATAAAAGTTTTTTCTCCTAATCAGTACTTTTACAAAACAAGTCTGCAGGAACACTCTTTTAACCCCTAAAGCAATTCAGCAGCTGGTTGGAGTGTTCATTTAAGGATCCTGCTTGCAGGCCTATTGTCTACTATGTCAGGCTTGTTCTGCTGTGCAACTGCAGGGCTGTAATACAAAAAAATAATTTAAAAAAATCAGCAGGCAAATACTTTAGGAGTAATGCCAACAGAGCAGGATTGCATCACTTTTTTAAGGTTCGCTGCAGACTGTCTCCTCAATAGTGATGTCCCGAACGGTTCGCCGAACGGTTCGCCACGAACGGTTCGCCACAGACTCATCATTGAGTAAACTTTGACCCTGTACCTCACAGTCAGCGGACACATTCCAGCCAATCAGCAGCAGACCCTCCCTCCCAGACCCTCCCACCTCCTGGACAGCTCACTAAGAATGCAGCTTCACAATGAATGTAAAATGGATGCTGTCCAGGAGGTGGGAGGGTCTGGGAGGGAGGGTCTGCTGCTGATTGGCTGGAATGTGTCTGCTGACTGTGAGGTACAGGGTCAAAGTTCGGCGAACCGTTCGGGACATCACTACTCCTCAACCCTTACTCTATCCTTTCTTTATGTTTCTTCCTATATTGAGCTTTCTTACTTCACTTCCTCTGTGTGGCAGCATCCAAGGCTCTCTTCAGTAGGACATTTCATGTAAATGTTAAAAATCTGTCACTGTCTATCTCTATATTTATGCACTGTATCCACTTAAATCGCCTGAACTTAAAAGGTGGGAAGCACTACTTCAGGACAGTTTGACTCACCATGATCTTCATGAGATGTGTATGTATGTGATATAGTCAAATTGCCCTCTGAAAGACCAGACACATTATTTATTGTCACAATTACTGTTATACATTGTTTCAATTAGTTTCAGACTATTTTCTTTCCCATGAACAATTTATGAAAATGTACTTACCCACGTCGGACATTTCCGGAACTGTAGCGGTATATGTTTCCTTAGTAAATTTTGGCTCATTGTCATTTATATCATGAATTTTGATAACAAACTCTGACACCGGTTCAACTGGTATCCCTGTTTTCCTGTTCACAGCCTGTGCTTTCAGAGTATACACTGGCTTTTCTTCCCTGTCCAGACGTTTAGTAGCTTGGATATCTCCTGTATTTTCATTGATAATGAATAACTTCCCGGCTCCATCTCCCGAGAGGATATACATCAATGATCCATCCCCTTTGTCCTGATCTGAGTGAAGCTGGCATTAAAAAACAAATTGGGAAGGTAGTTTGATTAAAGCACATTTCATTACATATGTGGTATAAGCTTTATATTCATAAATCAATTTGCTATTTAGCGATGTCTAATTTTCTTTCTAGAATTCTTCATTTAGTGCCAGACTAGACTACAGAAGGGTTAAGTAGCTATTTAAACATGCTGCTCTCTCACATTCTTGTTGGCATTGATCACTAGGTGATGCCATCTGTTTTCTGTATAATAAAGTATCAAAGGTCATCCTTACTGTCGCAAAATCAATGTACACCGGCCCTCTTTATCACACCCCATCCATTCTTTCTCTGCATGCCCACCAACGTGCAAATAAAAATTGCTAAATCACTTTGCTTCTTTTTTGCAACAATAGCAGAAACAATCATTTCATATAGTCTAAGACAAAGAGACAATCAATATATAGACAACGGGAATGGGTTTTAAACTAATATACATCTCTGTTTCTTCATTCTGCATCAGCGATTTTTCCCTATTATGTTCCACGGAATCACAGTTATGAGAAAACAAAAAAATGCCTAGATGACATTTTCATTTGTAATATATGAAATTATCTAAGTGCATGTTAAGAATTATTCTTTTTAATTAGGCATTGATTGCTTTTACATTTCAATTTAATTGAAAAACTCCAAAAACCTGAGTGAAAGATGATTCTTTTGTATATCATCCCACACTCCAAGAATCAGACACACTGAACAGTTTAGATTGCATGAAATAGGACAAGCAACGTATGATTGATGAGACAGATGCTTTCAGATGCTGTCATCTGTATCTTTCCAATGCAAGCCAAGAAGGCGATTGGACAAATGCCAGACACAAGCGTTTACGACGTTTCAGTTTTGGAAAACATCCATCGGTGTTTTATAGAAATAAAAAAAAAAAATCAACATCCCATATCAAGTTAGGTTCCAAATATCAAATTTTGGTAGCAATGGCTACCTGGCTCTAATGACTTGAACTGCTCTGGTTTAAACTGTGTTCGTCTTTCTAATGACAAAAAGTGCAACAATGTGTCACAACTGTCACGGGCCCGGCAGTCTTGGGGGGCCTAGACTGCTTTGGCAGTCCCAGGCCCCACATTCCCTCTCTGCACATATATATATAGCGATGATCGCAATATATATGTGTAGCCGCGGGCCCCCGGCTCCCAAACTTGCGGGGGCCCAGCAGACTGCAGGAGCACATTACAGCATTTCCCTCTCTCTAACTCCCGCGAGACCCACAGCCGTCAGAGCGTTGCCACAGGTTACCATGGCAACGCTCCACGCGGCGCGCACATCACGTTTGCAGGAGTTAGAGAGTGGGAAATGCTGTAATATACTGCTGAAGACTGCAAATACAGGGAGCCTGGGGGCCCCACCATGCCACCGGACCACCAGGGATGGAATCTTCCCCCTCAGTGGACCAGGTAAGAACCAGGGAGGGGAGAATAACATTTTTCACTTTTAAAGTGGGGGGTGTGGAGGGGAATGCTCCATTTACACTACATGCATACACTACACTAACACACACACTGCATTCATTACACTAACACACACTGCATTCATTACACTAACACACACTCTGCATTCATTACATTGACACACACTCTGCATTCATTACACTAACACACACTCTGCATTCATTACACTAACACACACTGCATTCATTACACTAACACACACTAAGCATTCATTACACTAACACACACTCTGCATCCACTACACTAACACACACTCTGCATTCATTACACTGACACACACTCTGCATTCATTACACTGACACACACTCTGCATTCATTACACTAACACACACTCTGCATTCATTACACTAACACACACTCTGCATTCACTACACTAACACACACTTTGCATTTACTACACTGACACACACTCTATATCCATTACACTAACACACTCTGCATTCCCTACACTAACACAAACTCTGCATTCACTACACTAACACACACTCTGCATTCATTACACTGACACACACTCTGCATTCACTACACTAACACACACTCTGCATTCACTACACTGACACACACTCTGCATTCACTACAATAACATACACTCTGCATTAACTATACACAGAGCGTCCACTACACAAACATTCTGTATTCACAGTACACACACTACATCCACCACACATTCAAACACTCTGCATTCACTATACAGAGACACTGCGTCTAATACACAGACACTGCATCCACTAAACACATTGCATCTAGTACACACAAACACTACATCCACTTTTGACTGTGTCCCTAAGGTTATTCCATAATTGCGGTGCTCTGTAGAAACAGGAGGATTGAGCCACTTTATTTTTGTATTGTGGTATGCAAAATATCGTGCTAGTACTGGATCGGAGGTCATAGGAGGTGGGAACAGTTAGGGAAAGCATTCTACTCAGGTAGGGTGGGAGTTTCCCAGAAATGCTCTAATTGCGCTTCTACTTGTAACCTCACAGGGAAACAAGGAGGTGGCTTTCATGGCACACGTCTCTCTTTTCCTGTCCTTTAAATACTATCTTTTTGGTCCATTAATATGGTATCAATATGATACCAATAGCTAGAACATCATTTGTATCAAACCCGGGAGAGTGCTGAATAAATTTACGTTTTACATTATATTATCACCCACATAGCAAAGTATTGAATTCCAAGTCAGATTATGGTAAATTAACAGTCCACATTGTATTGTTTTTATAACTAGATTAGCAAATTTAATGTGACAACTTTTTCAGTTTAATCTTACTTTTTTTAGTGAAATCTGATACAGTACATTCTTTAAAGATATAATATTTTATTTGGAGCAGACTTCCTGGAACGAAATGCATTTGGCTTGTGGAGGTTGGTACTGCAGTATTAGGTAGTATCACCATGCATGAAGTATAAATTATTGCATTCTCATAGCTGGTTATTATCTAGACCTGTATAATACATAAATATGAGTGTTCTTTCATGTAACACAGATATTCACTGCACTGCAAAAATACAGAACAATATTGATCTGTATACATTTCAGTTTTCATAATGTGCACAGGTATTGATCTGTACTGGTTGCTCAAAATCCTTAGCGTAGCACATACCACATGTATATATTCATTTCTTACGTACATCATGAATTTTAACATTAACATTAAGGCCTTTACACATTTTAAAACTAAACCTAGTGTTTACAAGGTGTGCTAACTGGGAATACTCAGGAATAGACAAGGGTATTCACAATTCAAGCCAATATAACCAAACTGGGAAAATTCTCCAAATCTTTCCACCTCAGTTCTTTGGGTCTGGAATATGCAATTCCATGATGAATCTTCTAGTCTTTGGGTTAGTGAAGAAATGATTGATAATATTAGTAGTATAGATTACACAAAACCTGCAACTGGTTTATAAAAGACACAATAAATACATAGCAACAGCTAATTTAACAGTTATAGACACTGCTGTATTAGAGGACATATATTGCATTTAATATGTTTCTAACAGAGGATATGTCACTTAAGAGGGAACCAGATGGGGGCGGGGCCTAACCGCAATGCCGACAAGACGTGTCTCTCAGGAGCTCCCGCTCAACAATAACGAAACAAGCGACCTAAGTCGGTGTCTAGAGAAACAAATGACGACAAAAAATACCCACAGGCTCCCTACAACTGAGGGCATGCAGGGTGAGGGTAAGAGACCCACTCGAGACCCGCCAAAACGACGACCGACAGCGCGGCCTAGCACACAACGGACGGGAGAGACGGCCGCTCTCCCGACCCGGAGACGCTCCGACGACAAAATAAGCAAGCCCTGTTACCCCCCCTCTGGACCGGCAGGGGAGATCCCGGTCCACCCAGCGGAGACAAATCAAAACGGACCTCACAGGCGAAAGGCAAGTGCAGAGCTTTGCCCAAGATGGAGGAAACTGCAGGCGCTGAGAGCCCCACAGATGCTGTGTATGATGTTCTAGCAAGGATCAACGGACACTTTGAACGGTTCTGGAAGCAGCTGGAGCGCAGGCTACGCCAACTTGCCCCACCACACAGCACTGACCCGTTCACACAGAAACCGCGGCCTAACAGGTGGCCGGTGGCCCAGTGCCAAGACACCCGCAAGACGAGTAAGCCTCACTTACAGCCGAGTCACTCACACGCAAGCCTCAAGCAAAACATCCAAAATAAGCAAAACAGAGGGGGTCCCTTGGTAGCAAAAGTCAAGCCCAAGGAAGAAAATCCACAAGACACAGCACCCTGATCCTCACCTGCAGGGAGAAAGGCTACAACA